AGAGGGGGAAGAAAATTTCAGCGCTTGCAAAGAACCCCAGAAGGGGGTGGGTTGTCCTTGTTGGGACATTTTTTGTTTGGGAATGGTTGGGATCAAAGGGCTTGAAGGGGGCAGGATTTGGTTGGGGGGAGTTTTGGGGCTTTTGGGTTCAAATACCGGGACGTTGGCCCCCCCCCCCCCCCCCCCCCCTCGCCCCCGAAAGAGCTTTCATTGGCCACTCGCTCGTCCAACGAAGCACTTCGACGAATTTGTTTCCGCCTGTACGTGTGATGGAAGCTATGAGGTCAACCCGGAGAAGATCGACGAGATTGAGGCGGGGGGATTGGAGTTTGTGGGACGGGACGAGAGCGGGCTGAGGATGGAGATTGCGGAGATCCCACGTGAGCACGACACCTGTACACCCAAGCAGCCCCTGCTTTCGAGATGGATTCCACCCCCACCCAATATTTTCCTGTGTCATGCTTATGATCATATATTTGTTTCTGTAGTTTTCTGCTCCCGTATCTGTTGGTTTTGTATCTGTAGTATAATGTGGTACTCCAATTTCGCGTATCGCGACTCCCAGCACCTTCCTACCATGTGGCCTTGCCCTTTTGTGCGTGGTGTCATGACCCGGAGTTTCTCAGAACAACTCCTCTGTCACACTCCTGTTTAGACTAGTGTCGAACGTGCTAACCGGTTGACCCATGAAACGACGTTAATGTTACAGCCGGAGAGGAAACCTTGGTAAGCTTTAGGGGCGACGTGAAGGAGAGTTGACGACAGGGCCTAATCTCTCCACCCAAGGCTTGCAAGCAGAGAAGACGTAGCATCGACCGCCCTGTGTTCCGTCATTTTTGACTCTTTTTTTTTTTTTTTCAGGTTCGAAACACCCGTACTACGTGGGCACGCAGTACCACCCCGAGTTCTTGAGCAGACCGCTGGAACCGTCGCCGCCGTTCCTAGGACTGCTCCTGGCCAGCAGCGGCCAGATGGACGCCTGGCTCGAGGGAAGCGGAAGCTTCGCCCCCAAGCACGACGGCTCGATTGATGCATGAGTGTCGGGTGTTTATTTGATTGGTGGAACAGATGCGGCTCAATCGAGTAGCGGGGGGATTGGCGTAGGCTCATGGAGGGAATCGTAAGAGGTTTCCGTGGCGTTCGCTTTCGACGACCGGGGTCGGGGTATATATCATTTTCTTATTTATTCTTGAAATCTTGGGTACACATGTGGGCTTTTTCTTTCTCTTGGGTAAGGATTCATGCCGGTCCAGCGACGCAAAAATAGACACAACCAACACACGAGCGATTGCTCTCATTTTGTGTGTGGGACTCAGTTAGGGGGGTTGTTTTACATGGAGACAACCATGTCCAGAAGATTTGTCGGACCCCCCCCCTCTCGGGTTGTGGTTTCGCCGCCATGCGTAAATGCATGATTCCATGTCTCTGGTGGCATGGACACGAACAATCGGGCGTGTTGATGGCCTTCGTCTGGCGGATCAACAGTGTTATCGTGGATGCGCCAAAATTTGAGCCCGTGGTCACGGAATTGCTGGCGGAACCGGTCGAAAAAGTAGGTACATTGATTCACCTAGTTTAGCGATCAGGAGATGGATAAAGACAGGCCAATGGGAAAGGCAATCATGTTCTTACCATACCATACCAGGTTCAGCGCTTTTAGCGATCAGGAGATGGAAAAAGACAGGCCAATGGGAACGGCAGCCCTTTTTTTGCCATGCAACCTGCAGGATGCTGTTCTGGCGCAAGCGCCACCCGCTCCTCCGCGTCGCTCTACTCGTGTTGTTTTTCGGTTTTTGTCTGTCTTTGTTTTACGTAGTTCTTCCGTGTTTCTGAACGTGGGCTCTTACCGCCTTCTCTTAACAAAGCTTTTTCATTGGGTACTGTAGTGGATCGAATCGTTGGTTTGAGGCTTGGTTAAATGCCGTTTGTGTCAGGCGGGACAAGGTATGGGTGAGAGATGGGCGGAAGGCAAACCGAACATTCCGGCAACAATCTGTCCCTTCTTGTGTTGCTGTCATCGCTGTTGGTAGGTTGTCTTCATCCGTACTACTGTACGTGGGGGTGTCCTTTTCGGTTGTCGCGAGGGGAGGGGAGTCGGTGCCTGGGAGAGCATGCAAGGCATGCACGCGCTATCTCGGTCCTCAAAGGGCGCCACAGGCACTGCTGCTGTTTTTGGCGTTCTCTTGCTTCCTCCCTTGTTGCTATCTGGTTGTCCCGTTCGACCGGTGTATGTATCTGCTCTGTCGGGACAGGGGAGCATAGGGTTTGTTGGTGTTTGTCGCGTCGACAGAGGAAACGTGCGTTGTAGCACAAGTCGAGAATAAACGAACACACCTAACCGGGCAGGGAGGAAGCGCAGTAGTATCTAGCGGTTCGCAGAAATGATCAGACAAAAACTCGAACTTTCAGGCACCTCCTGCTCTCGCGAGGGAAGTCAAAAGTTGCTCGAGGACCTGCCCACCTGGCTCGTGCTCAGAAATGTTATGGATCAAGGGCTGCTTGTAGGCTGCTAACATGTGTCTGAAGCTGCGCTGAAGAAAAATCGTCGTAGGTGTCATCCAGCTGTACATACGTGTCGTCATCAACCAATAATACCCTGCTGTCACCTTCTTGCGCTACATGATGAGTACACCGAACAGGAGCAAAAGGGACGTGCGTGTGCGGTTGGTTCCATGCACGCAAGAACTTGACCTTAAGACGTGCAAGACGCAGTGTATCATCCATCCGCGATGAGCCAAAAGAGAGAAAGGTGGGATGCTGCGGCACCGAACCACCAATAAATCCATCCACAGCAGCGTGCGTTGGTGGCTGCCTTGGGGCCTATGTGTCCTACATTCTGAAGCTGTTTTTGTCAGAAATTGGGTCAGATTCACTTCGTTTTCCACCACAGTCCAGGTGAGAAAATATCGTGCACCGGTCAAACGGCGCCGGCGGGCGTCAGACGACACACGGAGTAGCTGCACATCGATCGGGGTGTGCGTTGGAGGCGATCGTGCAGACCTCCATGATTCGGGCACGACAAATGTTAAACGCTTGTTTCGTTTCAACAGCTTTAGAAGCAGTAGGTAGCGTTTATTGCTTTGGTTTGTCAGCAAGGCCAGATGGGCTGGTGTCTACGACTGACGACCCGCCGCAACGAACGGCCGGTGAAATTTGCCGAGTCCACCCCCCCCCAACGGAACGGAAACGTTTTGGCGCAGGCCACGTAGAATAACGACTCTTTCGCAACAAAAAGGAAGCCTCAACAACCTGCGCTCCCCCCTCAGGTGCACAGACCGAATACGAGAGCGCGAGCCGTTCGTCCCTACTCAAAGACCGGGTGTGTGCACTCACGATTTGTCCAACGCTTGTTGTCCCGGCGAGGGTGGCTTCATTCTCCTCTCAAATGGCCTCAACACAAGGGCACACAACACCACGAAACACCGAATGTGTGTAATTGTTTGCTGCAGTTGGTCCGTGCCAGCCATGCCAACAACGGTTGTCTCTTACCATAAAACAGACTGCCAACAACAACTGCCGGCTTCGGAACATAACTCCCGTTTGCGATGCAAAGTTCAAGCCACCGATCTCCGCCAGTTCAGAAGCACAAACGATGCCACACCAACTGGCCGATCGATGCGGCTTGCCGCAATGTCACTTCGTGCCATGGCTTCTCCCTTGGGTGCGCAATCGACCAAGCTGATTCTCCTGGAACGGAACGCGCGCCGCTGTTTCTGCAACAGACGCAATAACATCGAACAAAACTTGAAGGACCCACAGCCTACATGGTCTGCAAACCACACTGGCGTTCCTCCGCTGTTGCCCCAGGTTGAACGCCAACAGCTTCCTTCCCAGGTCAGCTTGTAACCTCTCAATCCAGTCGCGGTTCAACGCATGTACTTCCAAACATCGCTGTTATTGCAACGTCGAATTCTGTTTGACCGCGACGTGTCGTGAAACGGTCCAGCACACAGCAGCAGCGGTGAACTCATGTCAGGTGCTCCTCCGCAAGTACTCCTGACATTGCTGTAGCTGTACCGTCGAATCCTTCCGACCGCGCGACGTGCAGAAAACGGCACAGCGTCGGTTTCACGCCAAAGGTCTCCTCCGGTAGAAGAGCACGTAGGCGTGGGCGGTGCGCACCCTGGCCTCGGGCACCGGGCGGCAGTCGTGGTCGTCGCACACGTGCCAGTCCTGGGACATGCCGCTCCCCTCCCAGTCCCGAACGAAGGCCGTGTAGTGGCCGTGCCCCATGCCGCCCATGTGGTTGGACACCGCGAACAGGTCGTACAGCGCCGACATCGGGCGGCCCCCCTCGAGCGTCTCTCCTGGAAATAGGTTGAGGGGGGGGGGGGGGGGGGGGGGGCCCAAAAAATTGGGTGGGGGGTTTTCCCAAATATTAAACAAGGGGGAATTGGGGTTCAAAAAATTTGGGAGGGCCCCCCCCGCCCCCCCCGGGCCAGGGGGGAAATGTAAAAAGGGGGGGTAAAAAAAAACCGGGCCCCTGGCCCCAAAACGGAAATTATGG